CCGCTGGGGGGAGTAGGTAGAGGAACTGGGAGTGAAGTTGAACCCAGAGAGGAAGGGAGGGGTGGGGGGAAGGTTTTTAAGATCTAGCAGTTTTTCTCCTCTCCTTCTCTGATTTTGATTGATAATAAATTAATTATTTTCAAGTTGAGTCTGTTTTGCCCGTGATGGTAACTGATAAAATGATCTCTCCCTGTCCTTATCTCAACCCACGAGCCTTTTGACTTACTTTTCTCTCCTTTGTCCAGTTAGAGGGGAGTGATAGAGCGGCTTTCGTGGGCCCCTGGTGTCCAGCCAGGGTCAAACCACCACACCTCAGCATGGAGCAAGAAGGGGGTTAAAAGTATTCAAAAGTTTAGCATAAGGACGGAAAGCGTTTGGGGGGGGGGTGAACAGGGTGAAGTTTGAGAAGAAACAAATGAAAAATAATAAGTCACGCAGCAAGTTAAATAGTTTTTCTATGTTCTGTAGAATGGCAGTACTGAATGCTGTGGAAAAGCAGTAAGAGGCACTTTTCTTGAATGCACAGTGAGTTACGGTGCAGCATGGATACATCTGATTTTTTTGTTGGTTTTGTTGTTCCGTAATATTTTAAAAAGGGAAAGGGTGGAGAATGCATACCCTTTTCTGACATTGCTACACTGTCAGATCTGCTACAGATAAGCGTTGCCTTGTAATAGTCCACTTGTTTTTATTTAGGCTGGATTTACAGCCTGTGCCTGCTATCTAGCTGGGGAAGAATTCTTGGGGGTTTTGGGGGAATGTGATAACAATGACTTGTAACTAGTAACATTTTCTTAATCGGTAGATAATTATTGTTCCAGCCATTCTCAGCTTTCCTTTTCCTTCTCCTACATCCTCCTCTCTTTAACCCTTCCCCCCCTTGCCCCCAGCATAATTTCTAAAATACTTACGGCACTAAGTTCTTGTTCTTTTTTCCATCTGCTATTGTGGGTGCAACTGGTTGGTTCAGGATGAATGTGAAAGAGCATCAGTCTCTGGAATATCTCATTTTTTTTAATGAGATAGCTCTGCCCTTCTAGAAAAGTTTGGTGTTTTGTTGTTTTTTTTTTTTTTTTAAATAAATTGAGGGATTTTGTTACCTTCAAAGTCCTACTAGGAAATTAAACGGCAGGGCCTGTGAGTTGTCCGTGTGTCAGCTTGTTGTTGCACACAGATTGTACTGCTTTCATTAGGCTGTGCTGCTACAAGGTGGGGAAGGCGAAGAGTATTTTGGCATTTGGGCATTTTTTAAAATGAATGTTTATGACCGATGTAATCGTGTTGTATACCGGTATAATACTCCCCATGTCTGGGATTTAGACCACCTGTCACTGTTGTCTACTAAAGAACCACAGTGTATCTGTCTCGGAAATGGTTGGTTGGTTATAAAGGCTGGACCCTTGTCATTTGTATTGCTGCTTACTGTCAGTACTCTAAGAGTCCCTTCCAAAATAAAGCTGATGGCAGCAGTGAAGCCCTAGGTGGATTTCTTTTTGTTCAGTCTCTGATACTGCGGGAAGAGGATTTAGTACTGATTTGGTTTTAGGAATTTCCTGTTTATGACTATTTCTTATTGCTTTTGATAATGTATTCTTTTAATACATTGAAAGATAAATATCTTAATATTTATCTTATTGTTTCTTACTATTTTAGCTATTTTCTTCTTATTATTTTCTTTTCAAATTCTTATTTTGCTTTCCTGTTTTTACATATTTCTTGTTCAGAGTAGACATGATGTCTTTTCAAGATCCTGAGAAAGGCGCGACCGTTCTTGGGCATATTCACAAGTAAACTGTTGATACTTCAGGACCTATTCAAGAGGGATCATACAGTTAATTCTGAAGGATGTTTATCTTAATGTCTAGGAGACCAGTGTATGTTGCTGTGAACTGCTGGGCTGAGGTGAAAGGGAAGATTAAAGAGGAAGTGGAGTTTATTAATAGACTCCTGGATGACAATGGCTTTGCAATGCGCACGGGTTGGCTTTTGCTACGGGACTGGTGGTAAGGGATGAAAGAGCATACGAGATGAGAAATATAGCAGAGAAAGCTGTGTAAGTGAATAACAGACGAAGCACTGCACATTCTGTTATCCTTTCATGTTCTTTCCCTTCTCTCCATCATGCACTTAATAAAGATTTTAAAGTGTTTTCCTAAAATGTTTTTTTTCCGGAAACATTTAGGTTGAAAGAGATGAAATTGCCTGATAATTTGGGAGAATTAGGAGTAGCGTTTTGATGCTTTTATAAATATTTGGCTTAATTATAAATAATGACAGTAAAAGGTTTGTTTGTACGCATATTCAGGAGCTTTCTTGAATGAAGGGATAGAGGCATTGCATAGCTTCTTGAAATCGTCATGTCGTAGTTGTCTTGGTATTTCAAAAGCACTTGATTTTTTTTTAACAGTGGAAAATTGCATAAGGAACAGGAAACATTGTTGGCTTTACTCAACTATCAAATAGCAAGTCATGTTTTGTTCGCATATCAGCTAAAACTCACTAAAACTTTTGTGCTTACTTAGCAGAACAAGTTGGGTTGGTTGTGGTTTTTGGTTTTTTTTTTTTTGAAAAACAAAATTTCTGACTTCAGATTTTCATTATCACTTGATTCAAAATATAATTTTAAAACTTTTTATATTTACTCTAGGTGGTGTTATGCCTTACAGTGGGCAAGTATTTAGTCATGAGACATGTATTCTTCCCCTAATGTGAAAAATCTGCTGTTCAGCTTCATTGCTGCTTTAAATCTCAGTGTTCTATGCTGACTTCAAAGACTGAAGCTTTAAGTTCTAATATATTACATTCCTTCTACTTAAAATATCTGTTTCACCCCTTTCATGAAAGTGGAGTACAAATAACAAATCAAGTATTTGTCAGATTAAGATGTCAGAGGAGTGAAATAATTTTGAGGGAGTCTAAACCCAGGGTTTTTCCAGATATCACTTTAAAGCAGGTCATCACAGAATTTTTTATAGACAGGGCTATGAAAAAATCACAAATGATAAAGGGGTATGGCAAACAGAATTATTAAATATGTCTTATCTTTATAAAAGCACATATGGAAAGTAGAGGAAGGGGGGGATATTGAAAAGCAATGGACATAATTTGTGTGAGTCTTTTGGATCTGGTCACTGTTAGGAAGCTAATCACGGGGTAAACTGTTAAGCAGGGCAGCAAAATTGAGCAACGGTTGCAGGCAATAAGAATTAATAGGTGATAGGAAGCATGAGCTGTGCGCTCTGAGTTGCTCTGGTCCATGCAGCCGCTGAAACGGAACAAGGAGTGCACAGTGACCTGGCAAATTCTGCTGAGAAAATGAATATTTTTATTCTTTGAAGTCATGGGACAATCTCAGGATGCTTCCCGGGGGTTGTAATTGCTAATGAATTGAGCAGCACTCGGCACAGATAGTAATTTATTGGAGACAGCTGCTAAGTACCGCACTCTATAAAAAGTGGCTTAGAGCAGCCAAACAGGCTACCAAGCTGGATATGTGATATATTCATGGGGATGTGGAGGAGAAGTGGAAATAAAACATGGATATGTCAGTAAAGATGTTTTGTAAGGAACAAAGATTTAAAAGAAAAAATTAAAAAAGAAAAGAGATTCTAAGCCAAATTACCAAGTACATGCTTACTAAAGGCAATACCACACTTCCACATGATTACATCTGGCGCGCAATCAATGCAGCTCCGTTCTAGTTAGTTTTGCTAACCGCATCGCAGGTAGGAGACGTCAGGTGTTCCTCAGCAAGGTATAAAAATGACACTGTTCTCAGTACAGAAGACCAAAAGGAGCTTGCACATCTCTTGAAATGACAGAAGACTTGAGAGCTGAGGATAGAGTTTGATGGCGATCGTACTTTTGCGTGAAGAGGAAAGCAGCAGGACGGATGGGGATGCAGGGTACCGTACACGCCGTAGGTCAGCCAGCTGCCGCGTCTTTGTGGAAGGGGAAGAGGAGGGTTGAAGTGAGGCAGGGAGTTGACTTAGGGAATCAGAAAATAAGCTGGCTGTAAGGTGGCTCTAGTACAACAAAACAGGTTGCGCTTACTTTGGAACTGGAGCTTTTGGTTGGTACAAATTTTGTCTGATGCGCTGCTGGCTGTTTTGCAGAGTTGAAAGAGATCTTTTTTTCTGTTTAATGACTGCAATGTAGAGAAATAGTCAAATATGTATTATTCGTGTATGTATAAATGAAAGACTATTTACCCATGGTAAATTTGAATAGAGATTTGTTAATTGTTTACAGGCTTATGAAAGTCACTTTCCAGTGTCAATTTTAACTTCAATGGGCACGTTATTAAAGGGACAAGTCATTCTTTTAACTGTTTCATCATAGCTTTTTCAGTATTGCAGTTATATGAGAGGTTTCATTTGGCATTCCAAACTTTCAGGATGTTAAATGCTGCTTTAAGAAAAAAAAAAAAAAAAAAAAAAGGATTTTTTTTAGTCCCAAATAGCTAGCCAAGTTTCCTTTTGTGCTAACAATTGTGTTTTGTTTTGATAATGCACCTTTTTAACAATTCAGCTGATAAGTTTCATAGAATGTGTATCAAAAGGTCATTTTACAAGTTTCATTTGAAAGAATGAATTGAGGGTTAAAATCAAGCACGCTTGACTATTAAAGTTGCCATTGGAACATCTTGTTCACTTCTGCAGTAGATGTTGTTCTTTGTTTAGTCAGCCTTTTATCTCTACAGCTATTCCTGAAGACCATTGTAACAATAATAATGGCTTTATTCACTAAATTATAAATTATTTGAAGCAATAACTATCAAATTGCAACTGGGGAAAGTTCCATAACAGGTCTTTAAGGCATCACTGCAATACAAATAATAACAATTGAGCTTGTTGATGCAATTCCTTTCCCATTTCAACCATAATTTTCTCATTAGGTTTGTATTACATCTGTATTAGACCTTCATCTTTTAGGAGACTTCAATTCATATGCTCTTGTTTCTTTTCCCAGATTGTTTCCCTCAGTAAGTGACGATAAGAATGAACGGACATATATCAAACACCCCTCCCGGTGGATATGGAAGTTATTTTCCTCAAATGAAGTAAGGTTATGCCTTTGATTTTCCTTTTATGGACAAAAAATAATGTTGTAATTTCTTCTTTACACTTTCATTTCTGATAGAGCTATAATTATTAGATCCCACAGGAATAATACAAAGGCAGTTTCTGTAAAAGAATGTGCAGTTTCCAAACCATGTAACCAAACTGACAGATATCATCTGGCTGATTTTGTATTAGTGTAAGGGTAAAGCTTCATTACTCAGGAACTGAAAAATATACTGCTGTAGCCATAACAAAACATACTTTACTCAGAGTGGTCTTCCTATATCTGTTTAAGTTTAGCTCTGATTATGCATAAAAGATAAGGCTGCCCTTTCCATCTGTGAGAAAATATCATTTCCCAGTAAACAGAACTGAGCCACTGTTACCTGAAAATGTTACCTTGTCTGAGACAAGAGAATGGTCCCTGTATCAGAAGTGTGGCACTAGGCTCCTTCGCAGCACTGGTGAAAATTGACCTCATCTGACGCCAAAGAACGTGTATTCATGTATGGAGCAGGGCGTCTGTGCTCTCACCTGCTTCTCATATCGTTGCCCCTTAAAGTGAGTTTGTATGTATGTGACTCATTCTTCTTGTTACGCTGGAAGGATGTTGGATTGCCTTTTCATTTGTTGCAGGCAATGACAGTCCTTTTAAGTCTTTTACAAAGAGCAGTTTAAATTGTTAAAAAAACATTAGCGCTTGTGTGTGCAGGAAAAAAACCGCAAATACTACGAAGTCTTTGGCATAGTCATTATTATTATTGTTAATAATAATTATTTAATTTTTTTTATTTAGTGATATTGATTACTTACATTATGGTAGTATCTATGTTTATATCACCCTCCCATTGTGTGCGATGTTGTATGAATGCAACAAAAAATAGCTCAGAAGGGTTTCCAGCCTAAGTGAAACATGCTTCACTGTATTCATGGTGTGGAACAAATATCCAGTATCATTACCTTCGTTAGAGACATCATAGGTGTCTGTCCTCCTACATAAGGAGAGGGGTTTTTTTCAATGCCTGTTTCTGTGTGGCAAATGTATCTATACAGAAGTTAACCAGAAATGTTTTCTTCCAGTGGCTATGGTTCACCAACATTTGCTCAGGCGGAGAGGGAGCAGAACTCAAGAACAAATGCAAAAGCTCTTTATGGTAAGGTGGCATAAAGTCTCTAAACATCTATGTTAAAAATGTTGTTTAAGTATTGATTGTGATATCATGGTGAAAATATTTTATGCATGTAAATCTGAAACTGTATGTACATACACATGTGGGTGTGCATAAACAAAATTAAAGAACAAAATTATTTTATTCCAACTAAAACTATCTAGGCTAGCTAGAAAATGCTTTTATGGTTTACTAAACAGAGAACTCCCTAATTTTTAAGGCAGCAATGTCTAAGGCATTTATCACAAAACTAAGAGTGATCCTATGGCTAAGTTATATACCAGGGAGAAGATATTCAGGGATTTAGCTGTGCTATAGGTTTGATTCATGACCTGTGTCTCCGTTTGCCTCCCCACTTTTATCCCCTGCTAGCAGAAAAGGAATTTACAGTATTATTCTTGCTTGACACAAGGTTTTCATGGAGGTTAGATTTGATGTAACAGATTTGGAGCCCTGTTTGGCCTGCTATTTTTGACAGGCTTTGGACTGTCAGATGTGATGTTACTTTATAAATGCCTAAATGTTTTTGCACTTACCAACTACAGATGCTAGTATTTGTCTTGGCTGTATACGCTACTTTCTAGCCCATGGCCGAATCGCTGTGGAGGCAGAATGTAGTCATGTTCCTTGCCAGCCAAATTGCATCGTTTCCTGGTCATCCACCTCCACTGTGAATACATCCTGCTGATAGCTGTGCTGGTAATGGAAATATAAGCAGCAATGAAGCTGAGAGATGTTCTGCTGTGTAAATCTGTGCCTGTTGTTAAATGCTTTTTGGAAAGTCAGTGCAACTGATAAGACTGGAAGAACAAGGTTTGCAGTGAGAACCCAGTCCTGTGCAGGACCCCTCGCACCTCAGCCCCACTCTCCCTTGTTGCATCTACCACTTCTTCTGCAGGTTAACAAACTGGAAGCTCAGAGTAGTAGAAACCGCAACATCCTTAGTAGTAACTAATCCTTCCTCCCTCCTATTTTGGGTGGGGGGATAGCTGGGAGTGACCTCCGGGGTTGGGGGAGTGAGGACAGGATGCTTTGGGGCATTAGAACAGCGTTATCTTTGCCCTCAGAAGGATAGCCTTCAGGCCTGGAGTTTGGTTTCTCACCCATGAGCATGTGAGAAGAACTTTGTCATACTGGTTGCCTTGTTGGCTTTTGAACTGCTTTGAAATTCATGAGGCTAAAAGCCTAAGGAGATGGGAGGTCTCCTAGCTTTGTGTCCTCTGAAAAGAGGAGTGGTGTGGAAAAGCTGATGTGGTTTGGTGGCTGAAGGCACTGTGCTGGAGTAGTGCAAAGGTCCACTCTAAAAAAATTAGCTAAGACAGAAACAGAAACCATTTGAAACATTTGTCATTTAAACTGATGTTGCGTATGAATCATTCTAAGTTTAAATTTATCTTTTTTAGTGGTATGCCACAAAAGTCAGTCACTTGATGGAGTATTAAAGGCAGGAACTGCAACTGAGGAAAATTCTGAAGCGATTGCTTTAAACAGTGATTTCTGCATCCTGTATGGGTTCACTTGACAAACTGATTGCGTGTGTTGACAGAAATAGTAGGTGGTAACAGAAACCAGCAAGAGACATTGCGAAAAACTCTTAGCAGATTACTTCTTTATGAGATGTTATGAGAGCGTTGTGCTTTCCTTTTTCATTTTGTATCATCATCATCATTTTTCAAGAGTACGTTGTTTGAACAGTTATCAGTATGCGTCTTAACCATGTCCTTTAACCTTTGTGGGCTTTTAAAATAACACCTCTCTGAGCTTTTTCATATCAAACATGTCATGGCATAGTCATATGCCAGTAGAAGATGGGGACAAGTGAGTAAATTTGAGGTATATAATGGTAAACAGCCTTCTACTTCTAAAATACTTAATTGAATTCAGGTACTAATTGAAAATGCTTACCATATAACTACTGCGTGGTGGCTCCTGTAAAGTAAATTGTTGATCTTGGTTCACTTCCACTGCTGGTAGATATATCACAAAACTATAGCTGCAGTTGCCAGGAACTGAATGAAGTAGAAGACTCAATTATCCGGGAGCTCTGAGTAAAGATATGTAGGCACAGCTTTTAGAGAGGAATTTGCACATTTTACTGCTTCTGCTCTGTTTTGTATGCATAAAGAACTAGGCTGTCGGTATTGCCAGATGTATGAATTGGAGAAAACAAGGAAAACACCTAAAACCTTTCTCAAATTCAGGCAATTATATATATATTTTTTTTAATTTCAGCAAATCTGCTGCATCCCCTATGTGTCTTTTCTTCCTCTGTGATGTTAGGGATTTTTGTGCATGCTGTCCCAAGATGGGGTGGGAAGAAGTTGAGTGACACTAGAATTGTTAAAATGTGTTAAAAATGCTCATTCTAGAATTTTTTATTTGTAATTGATTTATAATTAATAGCTAACTTAAGTATCTTAGTTGAGATTCATGAGACTGAAAGCCTATAAAGCAGACTTTTTTATATTTTATATTATGTACGTGTATAGTAAGTGTACATATTTTATTTACGTAAATGCATAAAGCTCATGTATTTAATAGCTTCACTTATATCGGAAAAATATATATAATTTAACTGTAAAAGTGAAATGGACCATGTTGGTTGGGTTTTTTTTTTTGTTTTGATAAAATGTGACAATGTAACATTAGTGGTAAACTTTGTCCATGACAAACTTCCTTTTCTTGGAAGACTTTCAGATGTCATTTGGACTAAAGCACGTATGCGTGGGTGAGGATCCTGATTTCAATTTCCTCCAAGCACAGTAAAGACTAAAAAAGTATTATTAATAATAATAACATGTATATATATATGTATATACATGTGTGTGTATATACACACACACACATATATGCCATGGCATGAAGTTTATCTCTTAAGTCCCAGTGCTGAGGTGGTTCATGGTTCTTCAGTCCTTTGGTCATCAGGCAGGAGGCTGACCACAGTGCCAGTGGGAAAGGAGGCTGGAGTTTTACTGGTGTTACAGACAGCTCAGTTAAAAACTAGACTGGAGCCATCCCTATCTCTGACGTGGTTATCTGATAGCAAAAACTTCCTTGCAACTGCCTTTTTTCCTGTGTCAAAGAATCTCTTTGTTTTCCCTCATTTCCTTCCTGAAATGAACTGTTTTCTATTTACACGATGAATCTCTCACTGAGCTGGGAGGAAAAATTCCCTCTACGCATTCTTACGGGTTTTATTTCATTATTTAATTTCTCATCTTTCCATCTGAAATGGGTTTTGGCTCATACCAGCATCTGTTGTTCTAGCATTGGCTTCTCCATCTGTCTTCTGCAGCTCCACTTGTGGAGAGCCGTGCAGCCTCAGCCGGCACCCGTAGCCAGGGCTGTGCTGGGGGTTTGCTGGTGGGTGACGCAGCGTGGAGCAGCCCCGCTCCCCAGGAGCAGCCAGCTAGTGGTTAGCTCCAATTTGTTAGATTATTGTACAGCACAGAATTGAAAAGTGTTACTAAACTTGTCTTCACACTGCATCAGAAAAGCCTAGGTGTTCTATACCTTGTGTTTATACTCTCGTGGCTGTGGTCAGGTGCTGGCAGTGAAATTGCATGTGTGTTTTTGCATTGCTCAAATGCCTCATTCAGAGCAAGAACTGCAGTGTAATAAATTCAAGGAAATCACAAGCAGATCATAGATGAGGTAAACGAGCCCATTAAAGGAAGCCATCCATGGAACGTGCTTTTGTTATTTGATACTCGGATGGATTGAACTGGCAGTTGACTTCTAAACAACACACTTTCTCCGATAGCTAGTTCCATACAGCCACCAGGGAGAAGCTTGTGGCACAAATCTCTGAAAGTGATAGTGTTTGCTCTTCTCTTAATGAGATTTGGGTTGAACTCAAATTTTGACCTTTCTCTCCGGATGTGTAGGTCACGTCTCCTGCTCTTTGCTCTCAGTCTCGAGTTTTTCCAGCTGCTGCAGTACATTTGTAAAGGGGTGCCAGCAATCAGTCCAATGCGAACCACAAGTATACAGTACTAAACTAAGTATTGGGCTTTTCTGCTTGAGGATGTGTGGTGATAATTTATGCTGTCACTCCAGGATTCTTAGGACAGTTTGTGAGGGAGACTCTTAATTCATCCCCACATGGATTGCCATCAGATTTCAGAGCTTTGTCTCTTTGTGCACTGTAGAGACAATTTTCCAGTTTGGCTATGGCAGGGGAAGGTGGGATCCACCAATATCCTTCCTTGTCCTATCATAGCCATAGCACTGACAACATGTATTACATCTGGCCTGTGCAATTATTTCTAAGACATCAGGGGAAGTCTAGGCATCAGGATTCCTTTTTTCTGTTCTAGGCTTTTAGGGACTGAAAATTTGTTATGCCTAAAGTTATATTAGCCCTAACCAGCACCACCCATGCTTCAGGTCATTTGTTAAGACCCAGACTGAGACCTTTTGCTTTTGGTAAGAATCTTTTGCTTTTGCTTTTGGTAAGAATCTTCTCTACCTAGATAAAGAAATATAACTTTCTCTTGTTGTGATACATTTCTCAGTGTGGTCTTCTGGACAGTATCACGGAATCACAGAATCACACAGAATCACAGAATGGCAAGGATTGGAAGGGACCTCGGGAGATCACCTAGTCCAACCCTCCTGCTAAAGCAGATTCTCCTAGAGCACATTTCACAGGACATCATCCAGGCGGGCTTTGACTATCTCCAGAGAAGGAGACTCCACAACCCCCCTGGGCAGCCTGTTCCAGTGCTCTGTCACCCTCAAAGTAAAGAAATTTTTCCTCATATTCAACTGAAACCTCTTATGTTTCAGTAGTACAGAGCCAGGCTATGGTAGAGTTTATTAAGCAGCTTTCTAATTTGCCATTTTGCTGCACCCTCTTCCAGTCCTGGCCAGGACTCTAACTTTAGCTATGTCAGGTTCTGATCATAGCTCTGCCTCAAGGGAGCTTGGGCCACACTGGTGTTTCTGTCTGAAGCTGTGGAATAGTTACCTTTCCAAAGTAT